TGAGGGAGCACTCGATCCCCTCATCCATCATGTGCTAATTCACTAGTTTCTAATTCATCAAATATTTATTTTAGTCTGCTTACAAATTGTCCAGGAAAACAAGTACAGCACTATTTTTAAGTATGTCCATTTGTCCCCTTTACTGAAAATGGAATGCAATTATTTGCCCCCATGTAATGAATGCGGCACGGTTTTTCATCAGTTTTGTAACAAGTAAAGTATTTGAAGTTTTCTAGCCTCTTGTTCAAAATACACTATGAAAATGTATATTATATTATTCACAATCAATAAATATACAATCATCTTGGAAAATCACACATAGAAAACATTACACACAGGTGATTAAACATGTGCTAAAAATATAGTAACAATTATCCTTAAATCCCAATATTTTTAAATGCCAAAATGCTTTACCATACACAGACACAATAAAATCACTTTGGTGTGTAGGCAGATCATGCTTAAATTGGATTTCCACAGCAAAGACAAATGTTACATATATATTAGTTGAGGACAATATTGATTATAACTCTGGCATTCTTCTGCAGAAACCTAAACAACACTCTTCACTGTAAAAGAATATGACAAATCAAGTTGTCAAACTACATAGTTCAGAAGCAATCACTGTTGGGGCAAAAGTTTCTGGCATAACTCAGTGTTATGACTAAATGTTGCTTAATATAACCTTACGTATTGTAAAGAGAAAAGCCAGAAATTTCCTTATCCAGAATCAGCTGGTACAGCAGTATCTCCTGTTTCCCCAAAAGTGTGTATTAGTACCTGCTCAAGTACAGCAAACATGGTGCCAAAACCTGACCATCAGCCAGGTCCTTTTCATTTGAGCTTATTTTCAGAAGATTCTTGTTTGTCGATAATTAACTTGCTTTAGTTCAAACTACTAGGATTTCTGAAATATTCCAGAAATGTCTGTCTCTGTGAGTCTAGTCAAACTGCAGTGGTAATCTGTGTCAGTCCGAGGTCGTTGGACTCTTCTCTTTCTTGAGGACAGTAAGACGACATTTCCACGACTAGTCATACAGGTTTGTTTGTCCCATCTGCTTCCCTCATATAAGCCGGGTCTTGCACAGTGTTTCTGACTCTGCTGGTGCTCTGCCTCTCCATCCTCATCTTAAAGGGGAAGCAGAAGTCCTTGAAACATCTCTTGAAGTTTTCATCCAAAAAAGCGTAAAGGATTGGATTGAGGCTGCTGTTGGTGTAACCCAAAGCAATACAGAAGTAATAACTGGATATAGCAGCAGTACTGTGGGACACATCCCCTAACGCCTCAACCAGCACAAAAATGTGAATAGGAGTCCAACAGATAATAAAAACTGCCACAACCACAAGAACCAACCTGGTGATGCGGCGCAGGTTTCGATCTTTTTCTCGAGACCCTGAGAGAAGCCGTACGCTTTTAAGGCGTAGGATCATCAGAGTATAGCAAACAATTATAATGAGAACTGGAATAACAAATGCAAAGACAAAGACACAGATTTTCATGAAGATGTCCCACCACACGTAATCTTTGTCTGGAAATTGCAAGGAGCATTCAGTGCTAGCAGTATCTAGGAATGAAAGAAGCAAGAAGAAAAGTGCTTTATTATTAGATATTCTAAACAATGTAATTATCATAGCATAAGCTAGGAAAAGTGATTATCATGTAATGTGATACTAATAAACGGAGTTATCATTAAATGACTCCAAGGAAAGCTTTCAATTACCATTGAAACTGGTTTTATGCAGCTGTCTCTAGAAATTACTTAGAGAGATAGCGTCTTTTTAAAATGCATAACATCATTGCACAAAATTTGTTTCCTGTGGGAGGATCTAAAAATGCAGAGCACAAAAATAAAAATTTGTAAAGACGTTTCCATTTGAATCTAACTGAATTTAAAGCCAGAATGAGTATCATGTTCAATGGAATAAAAATCTCGTAATTATTATCGAACTACATATGCTTTTGTCTGTGGGCAGAGATAGATTTTTGATACCATGAATGGTGGGAGCCGAATGAGGTTGTGATCGTAGGAAGTTTTTGCCAATATATGATAATTGTGTAATAATCTTTTCCCACATGCCTTCTTCAGTGCAAATGGAATACACGTAAGAGCTTGCATTCAGAAAAACTTAATTCCTGGCAACAGCTTCTTTTCAGTTAAATAGAAGCAAATAAAATATGTGTGTGCGCGGAATCAAATGTAAGCTGCTCTTTTTGCAGATCACGTCATTGAAAATTCAGCCTGCGCAGAGACTGCAGGATCTGGGCCACCGACACCAGCCCACAGCCTTTCTGATTGCCCACGCCAGGATTCAGAGTCACAGGCTGTCACTTGATTTTACGTCCTAGAATTATTCCATCTGACAGGAGGCTGCTAACGAATGAAATATTTGAGGTTTCATTTGCTGACCTCATTGGAGCCTTCCAGCATATAAACCCTATGGAAAACCAAGAAACAAGATAAATGGCAAGGCAAGACAAGGGGTAAACTCACAACTGCTATCAGCGGTTAAACTCTACTGAAGACAAGTCAAGGTAACACAGGGATTTTTCACTCTGAATTGTAGCTTAGATTTTATCCTCTTGAGCACTGCATTATTCTTTGGATTTTTTTCATTTTCCTTACTGGATTTGTCATTCTTCTACAAATTATTACGTATTGGCTTTTATTGAATCAGATTTAAGGGTGGAATGATTCAATATACTCTTGCACATCACTTTTTCATATTTGTCTCCAGCATTACTACTCAGAAAAATTCCATCAAGCCATATTTCCCTGCTATTGAAATGCTTCACAAATCAAAATGATTTTGCAGAGAATTTGTTTTGAAAAACAGCTAGGGGGTGAAGTTATCATTATGGTATCATATAGACATATCCGCAGTTAGATATCAGAAAGCTGTTACTGGGTGATATTGAATACTAAAACATTCAAATAAAAAAGTTGAAATCAAAGCTAAATATTTTGAGGTTTTATTTTAAATAATATAACAACTAATAGATGATTCGAAAGCTGAAAAGTGAAAAGACGTATCTTTCAAGCCTGATGGAGGATGCTAAGCTGACAGCACAAGTATGACTTAATAGAGTCTTGACACTCAGTCAACTTTTCTAAATCCTTTGTGATCTAGTTTTTCATAAGTGTAGTTGCTTTTACTTAATTTTATTCTAGAAATGTCAACAATCATCTTCAAAGAAGTTCTCACGTTGATTATTACTGTTATTTGTAGTACATCATGGCCCAGCAGAGGCAATAAAATCAGGATGCAGCTATAATAATCTAGACTAGTAAAGCTGCATCCAGATGTGCAGTTCTGGATAAAAGTGAGGTGTGATCAGCGATGACTGTTCCAGACCACATCCAACTACTCACTGAAACCCCCTCCCAGAGGAAACTGCCTCTTCAGATCTACTAACATAATTTATGAAAATAATTAGGTCATGCTTGCAACATTTTAATATAATTTGTAGTTCGCAATGGTATTTTAGAATTTCAAATTATTGAATACAAATTTAATGATTGTCTTACATCTCATTACAGTTTACTTTCTGTGGAAAATCGTATTCTAAATTCATTAATATTCATGTGTTTCACTTGATATATATAATGCTATGAATTGTATGGAACCCATTTACATTTTCCCAGTTTACAACTGGGAAACAATCAACAAAGATCCTTGTCATAACGCCCAAATCATAATAATTTTCAGGAACTTTGGAAGAGAATAAAATCCAATTTTAATTTTATTCTTGTTGCCTGAAAAGATGCAGAACTAAGGACAGTATCACAAACTGAGTACGTAAGATTTCATACTGACCTTTTCCACTCTAAAAGCCAAATATTCCAAATACATTTATATATTTAAGGAAAAATACTGCTGTATTTTAAAATACACACTGTATTTTAGTGTACATATATTTTAAAATGTGTTTGATAAGCTACCATTTAAGATTAATCTTAATCTTGACATAGGAAATATATTTCTGTTACATACATTATTAATTATGTCACCTTCAGGCATCCATAATCCTCTGTACTCAAATGGAGCCTTCATACTATTACTGAGTATACTAATAGTACGTCTAATTTTTTTATTTTTTAAGTGAACAATTCTTCAGCAAGAAAGGCTCCATTAAGGCCAGAGAGGGAATATTTACACAGATTTATTCTGCAGGGAAAATGTATCCAGAAGGACACCACTGGGAGCAATCCTGTACTGTGAGAACAAAAGGGACTAACTGAGCATGGGGTGGGAACTTTAAATATAATCACTCTCCATTTGATGTTCAGTTGTTTAAATCTGAATCCAACAGAGGCCCTGTAGCATACAGAAAACAATTACTTTGACCAATGTAACATAAAGTTTCAGTCCTGAGCTCCAGCTGTCAGGCAAAGGGAGGATCCTTGCTTTTCCCCTTCACCATTTACCAGCGCAACTCATGAACACACCAGACAAGATAATTGGCAGTAAACGCTCAAGAGAGACCTTAGATCAGACAAGCAGGGCTAAACAGTAGGGGCTGACAAGCATTTGCCAGTAATTTCCAACCTTGTTTGGCCCGACTGAGCTGCCTATTACTAGTCTCTGCTTCAGGAGAAAAAAAAAGGCTGCCTGCCACGTGGCATGGAAAAGGCATTTAATCATTGCTGGCCTCAGAGCAGCCCCTTAATCTAAATGTGATGCTTTCAGTGAATAACAGGAATATTCTGCTAGTTAAGCACGCTCCAACAAAACACCTGACCAAGCCAATGTCCCACGGCCTTCAAGATTTCATATGTAGTGAGACAATTATTATTCCCAAATGAAGACACCTGAAAGTCAATGTTTCCTGAGCTAGACATTGTTTTATAGAGCCTGTCAAAACTTTACTGGGGAGAAGAGTTACAGGACTGCAGACCAGGATACTTGAAGGGCTGAAAGGATAGTTTCCAGAGGACTCTCCTGTCACCTACCCACCAGAAGACCAACAGCAAGAACAAAATCTATACATCTTCAGCCAAATCAATCAGCCCTTGAGCAGCTGTTACTGAAATGTTTTGTTTGCATTGATCTATGCCAAACAAGTTTAACACACAGCATTTATTGTCTCTGCCTGATAAAACAGTGTCCTTACGTAAAGTTTAACATTCCTCTTGGGAGGAGTGAAGCCTTTCTAAAAGAAAAGGTTGTTAATTCAGGAACTTATTAGTCATTCTTCAAAAGATTATTTACATCTCAAACAAGACTACCACCAAATAAATATGCATGTCTTGTATTTTATTGAGCCATCCATAACAGATGGCCCCAACACAAGGACATCATTAGAGGCCTCAAGCCTTTTGAAGACACTGAGGTGCTCCTGCACCACTGTCATGCTTGTGGGTATGAAGTATATGTGTGTGAGACTGCTTCTCCCCTTTCCTTCTCAAGGAGGATTTCAAATAAGATTAACTCCATAGCAGGGCAGTTTTAGTAATGAGTCACCAGTTATAGGGGCTAAATCTGCAGTCCTTCATGGCTTATAAATTTCAAGCAGAGTCTACAGGTAGTCTGCATACAGATCTCATTGACTTTATGTTCTTGTAGTTGCTTCCCTGCCATGGTCTGTATTCCCAGTTCCTCTGCTGATCCTTATTCTCAGCCTTTCCAAGTTTCCATGTACATCCCCGTCCCTTTTAAACAAGAATTTGAGATACTGTCATTTTCGTACAATTTAGCTTCATTTTCTCTCGCCAGCTACTGACTTTTTTCCTTTCTTCACCACGCCTTCGAGTTCTGTGAAATGGCTGCTGATAATAAGCTCCCAAGTCTTAATACTAGTGATAGTTTTAATATTAATACTAATGACAAGCAATCTAGTTTCTGCTCTTGGAACTTCAGCAGAACTACTCTCACAACACCTACAAAAAAACACCTTAAGCCCACATTTCAAGTTTCATCCTAAATTGGTCTTTAATCTGTCCACTGTGATCAAATTCCTGATTATTTTCCCCTGGTGTCTGCTACTAGTTTTTCGTGGTCTCATTCTAGCACGGACAATGCTTCAAAGTGCATTTTGTTATTTTAGATGGCAAAGGCATCTGCGCTTAAATGATTTATATGTCATACTGTGATGTTCCACAATATATTTCAAAATGTCAGAAATTTAGACATAATTTTTGAACCAAGGAATGTGGATGAACATCCTGAGAATGCACAAATTATTGAAAAAGGAATCAATCGGGTTTAGTCAATATTCCAAGCTACATTTTATGTCATTTGAGAAACAGAGACTCAGTTTTGAATGCTCACACTCACCTTCCCTGACTTTGGTACCTCCAAGAACTATCGCAGATATACCAACAGACGAGGACAATAGCCAGATACAGATGTTGATTATCTTTGCCTTGAGAGGTGTACGGAAGTCCAGAGCCTTCACAGGGTGACACACGGCAATGTATCGATCAACACTCATCATGGTCAGTGTGAATATGCTGGTAAACATGTTATAGTAGTCAATCGAAATAACTATTTTACACAGCACATCACCAAAGGGCCAAGAGTTCATCAGGTACTCAGTGCTTTGGAAAGGCATAGTCGTGGTAACCAGCGCATCTGCCATAGCCAGATTGAAAATGTAGATGTTGGTTGCTGTCTTCATCTTTGTGTACCTGAAGAACAAAAAAAAGTAAGGTTTTATTATTTCAAAATATGATTATGCACATTCAGATATGTAACAGTTTATCAGTCAGGCTTTGACATATTTAGGTTTTTTCTGTCAATTCTAATTTATGACAGAAGTACACAAAAATGCAAGACACTTGGGATAATAGCAAACACATTTGACTCAGTCTCTCAGCACCTGCATTAGCAGCTAGAACTTTTCACCATAGGCAAAACCAGGTATATGAACACATTTAATCTAATTAGTCAAACGCTGGTTTCAATTATCTTCTCAAATCCTTCTACAAGAAAATATCATTGTCACATTTGCAAGTGATCAAAATGTTTTGTGTTTCCTTTTCTTATAGCTAACTGTCAGTGACTGTGAGCTTTCTGGCTTTGTTTTGTGGAAGGAATAGTTATCCCATTCTCCGGTAAGAATCCATGTTAACTGTTACATCTGCCGGGCCAGATTGCCTCTTATATGAAAGTTCCTCTTCCTTGAATTCACTGCAACGATGCCAGCTTATACAAGTTTTAGTCATTTCCCTTCTTTGCTCCTTCATTTCCAATTTCTCCTCCTTTCTTATCCTCAGTTTTCCCAGTCCTTGCTTTTGTGACTGCTAATGTAAAAGATGACTATTGTTTAAGTAGGATACCACAGTGGGGAAAAAAATGGTCATAGCATTTTTTCTGCATCCTTTAATTTCACCAAAATGAACCCCTTGTTTTGTCTAGCTGGTAAGAACCTCAGCCTACACAGAAAAATAGGATCAGTTTTTTTGAGACAGCACCCTGCTTGCTTCTGCCCTGATGACAGTCTGACCCTGGGGCACAGCCTGTGTCCCAGGGTGTGGAGGACTGCTTTTAGCTCTGCCACGGACAAAACAGGTGAAGGAGAGCCAGTTAACATCACAGGGATATACTTAACTCTCCTTTCTGAAATGCTTCCTCCCCCTAGTTACTTTTGCTCATTGCTATTAATTTATTTTGAGATTCAATGACAGATTTTCCTTCTCAAAACTGTTTCACCCACTTATTTTGAATGTGTATCCAAACTAAAAGGTGTACATACAACACACACAGAAACATGTCTAGCTAGATTTTGATATGTATCATTAATAATTTATAGAGAAAATATAAGATTTGATCAGTCCAGCTAATGAACATGTAGGGCAATGTGTTTCTTTGCCTTTAAAACTTTGATGTGTAAAATAAAAAATAATTTGAAAAAAGAGTGTTGACAAAATGTGCCCAATGAGTAAATTAGCTATTAATTAAAATATGGGCAGAAATGTCATTTTATGACCACCATGAAATGTCAAAAATAGCATCAGTTTTTCTAAAACACTCTAATTATGACTTATTGAGAAAATGAAACCAAATGCTGGTTTGAAGCATAGAAAAGAGAACTGCAAGGGAAAAGAAAGTAAACCCTTCTCACCCAGGTACCGTACCCAGGCTCACATCTTGAACAAAGCCTTAGCATTAGAGCTAAGAGCACTGGAGCATTAGAAATACCTGAGCAAAGACAGCCAAAAGGAAGCAGTGACAAAAGCTCTACACTGGTGGCATGACCCCCGACGGTCTAGACCCCCTCTGCCCCGCTTTGAGCTTCTCTGGGACCAAAGGCAGAGCAAGGAGGCACCCACCAGTCAGAGCTGGGCTGCTACCCCCTCCCAGATCATAGAATCATAGAATCACAGAATCATAGAATAAGGTTGGAAAAGACCTCTAAGATCGTCGAGTCCAACTGTCAATCTCCTCAAGAGGCCCCCCAGCAGAGGAGGCAGTCTGTCCTGTAAGTCACGTTATAGCCTGTAAGGCATTGTTCAAAGACAAATATGAGAGTATATAGCTAGGACAAAAAAAAATAAGGCACATTAACAGACTAGGAACTTTCCTTCTGGTACAAAAAAAAGCAGATCCGAGTGCATCTCAGCTGGAAGACTGGACAAAAACTCACTAAACACTCAGACTGCAAATCTGTGCTAAAATGGACTAATTTCCATTAAATATCTGAAAAGAAGTAGTAAAAAGGTGATGTTACTTCTATGCACATCACTGATGATATTTGGAATTGTTGTCTTGTTCATATTGCAAAAAAAGACTATGAAAATTTGGAAAGGATGCATAAAAAGCACCACAAAAATAAGAGAAAGGACTGAAGAAAATTCTTACTTAAAGAGCTCAGCACATTTAGTTTATCAAAAAGAACACCGAGAGGTGACTTGATTACAGTGTCTGAAGACCTCCGCAGGGAGAAAATAGCAGGTACTGAAGAGCTTTTTCAGTCTGCAACGAAAAGCATAACAAGGACAAATACATAAAAGTCAAAGCCAGACAAACTCAGCTTAGAAACAATGACAGATTTTTCCTAACAGCTAAGGTGATTATTATTGGGAACAAATTACACAAGAAAGGAGTATTTTTTCCATCTTTTGATGTCTCCAAATCAATGTCTGCTGTTTTGCAGAGGGTGTGCTTCAGTCAAATACAAGTTACTAGACTCAATACAGAAATATTTAAATGAAAGGCAATGGCCTGTGATAAGCAAAGGTGAAGTAACTAATAGTTCTTCTGAATCATTACTTCTGTAGAAGTTTAAAAGTTTAAAAACTTCCTCAAGGGTTTGGATAGGGAAAGTTTGCTTTCACATATAGAAGAATTATTTTGACCTTTTTTCTTTAAAGGAAATCATAAAAGTAGTGAAAATAATTAAGAGGATTTTATTAGCCTTGAAAAATCATATATCTGGAAGATTTTATATCTGGCATTTCCCATTCCTTGCAACCTTAATTCAATTCTTTTTTGTGTGTGACACTGTGACTTATATACCATATTTTCCCAGTACCCCTTTCCCTTCTCCCTCCAGCCTTCCAGTGGCAGAATAGGAAAGACCCTCTGTAAAATAGAACTAGTTTTTTAGGTAACTTCAAAATTCAAATTTGTGAAGCTGCAACATAAAGAATGTTCTCTGTATGTGTACAGCTTATGTTACACATGTAAAGTGAGCAATTTTGATTTTTTGGACTATACAACACATGCACATATAAGAAAATTAATTTTCCTCACTACTATTGATCTAACAGGAAGGATGTCTTGTCATTCACAGGTAGTAAGAAACACAGAATCATCCCAGCATCAGCATTTAGACAACTTCCAATGTAACCAAATCAAAGCTGTATATAGGAGTGAAAATATAATGGGGAAAAGAAAAACCCACAGTCTGCCATTCCTCCCATAAAGCTCTGTGAAAGCTTTAGCTCATTTCAGGGACACATATGCGTATAACAATCCCAGCTTTGATAACCTTACCTGGTGTGCATCTAGTGCTTCCCCACAGCTCACCAGCCTGGCAGTGCCATGACTAGCTGGCCTTGCCCAAATCCACCCCAGTTCACAGACCATAGAGGTCTTGCACCACTCACTCTGAGCCAGACAAGGCACTCGACCCCTTTTCTGCCAGACTTTGAACAAGAAGACGGGAGACCAATAAATACTGCTCAATAAATACTTTATTACATTTAGGCAATCAGTTCTCACAGGCACTGCAGAGGGATCATGCTAACTCAGGGATGAAGGGCGCGCTGCTTAACCTCAGCAACACTAAGTGCAAGCACATTTTACTGATGCAACCTTAAAACTCACTGATCCACACCAGTAATGTAAAGAGCTTGATTACTTTCACCTGAAAGCATTGGCCTCCATGTAAATGAGATGTTGGCCTTTAAAGTTATTAGGCAATATAGATTAAATCATACATTCACTTAGAAAGTTCATAAAATTCAGAAATGCCTTTGAGAATCTGGACTCAATCATCCAAACTCATTTCAATGTTTTTAATTAAACACCTAAAAATTATTAAATGCGTACATGTCTCTGAAAATATGTGCTTGTAGGCTTAATCAAAAGTCCAGTTAAAGTACTGGAGTGACTGCTGTTGCTGTCAGACACTTTGAAGTGGACCCTGATAGAGTCTTGACTCGAACACGAGATGAAGGATTTAACTGCTTTTCTACCACTCATTCTATTGCACCAAAATACAGGAGGCAATATTTTACATGGTTTGGGCTTTTCCCACCGTACCCTCCCTTCACCCAAATCTGCACTTGAATAAGGTCAAAACAGTGATCGAGTAAGGGTATCTTGTCTTCCTTTGCAAAATTAAAATTATTGATCAAATACCTGAATTTCATTTAAGGAAAAAATACTGCTATCTGATTTAATTAGTCTAGCGGAACAGATAGGGGAAACCTGGTCATAACTACAGCATAGATGGCACAGTGGTAATTAATGACAAACATTTTCTTAGTGTCTTTGAGATATAACTTTCGAAGACCATTAGAATATTTATAAACCATTGTTGTATAAACTGTTCATGGGAAATCCTGTGTCTAGAAAATGGTTTGTTAAATACTGGGATTTCATAACAAGATGACAGCTTTTCTAATACTACACAGAAATGGAAGGTCCTCCTCTTAAATCAGGTGCTAGAATCTGATTTCAAGAGGCAGAAAAACCTCTGATGACTTATTTGGTAGACCTCGAGACTGCTTGTCAAGCTATAAGCAGGCCTCAAGCCTCTGTAGACTTTAAATAACTGGAAGGTATGTGGAAACCCTGCAGAAAAATGTCGAGATGAAGAGTAAAACTTTGGCTTGGATTTATTTTTTGGATATATGACAAGAGTTTTTAAGGTGCAATATTTGAATGATGTCTACTTACATGTCAAAAGTAAAATTCACAAAACTATCACAACTTAGGCTAAGTCCACTGTCCAAAAGTTCTTTGAGACTGACTTCAGACTGACCCTTAGAAAATTCCCCCTATTTCTCAGTTGACTCATCATTACTGTACTTTTCTTTCTGGGGTAGAATTTACTTTGAACATTTTTTTTACACAGTAAATAGGAAGAAATCACACCTCCAGACTAAGTTTATCAATAAAATTGTGGTAACACAAGAAGGAAGCAGCTATTAAGAAGTTGGTATGCTTTCAGAAAAAA